CCATGTAGAATTTGTTACAGTAATCTAGCCCCATTTATGGAGTAATGTGGACAGATTAGACATCTGCAAATAGGGAACCAGTTTCCTTCCTAGATGTAGCTGGCAAAAGGCATTTTTTGCTGTCATGAACACCTGTTGTTTCAACAGGAGACCAGAACCCAGCAAGACTCCCAAGCTCTTTAAAGAGTAGGAAAAACAATCCCATTCAAAGCAGTGGCTCTTCCAGCCAGCATCACCTATGTCTTATCTGGATTCAACTTCATTACAACAAGGCCCATGCAGACTTCATCAAAGTGTGCTGGACTAGGTAAGGGAGTTCACTCTCACCTCTGCCCTATCATGGTTTATTAAACCACCAGTATACTATATTTTCCAATGAGGGCACAGAATGAGCGAGAGACATTTCCACCAAAATATATTAATATGACTATTTTATACAAATGGGACAGTGAGTTGAAATGAAAGGGAAATGATACTTGCCTTCACCATATTTATATAAATCTATAGAACAAAGTTTGAGTCCAGCAGCACCTTTAAGACCAATAAAGTTTAATTCTGGGTATAAGTTTTTGCATGCATGCACCCTTCTTCAGATCTAAGTTATGTTCCTATTCAGGTCTCTGCTTGAAGTTCTAATTTCCTGAAGTACAGCAAAGAACTGAAATTATCGGTCCTCCTCCTGAATACAGGCTAGAGCATATTTTTAAAAAACTTTAAAGTAAATGTTACTGAAAGAATTCTATAGCTGTGGATTATATAGAAAGAGCACCAAAAGAAATAAGTTATTCACAAAACAGTAGACTTCAAGATCAAAAATTGAAAACGATTAGCAGCAAATTCAGGGGGGAAATGGAAGAATTAAGAGAATTAACTGCTAAATTATGTTGCAGTGGCCACACTAACAAGTGACTTTATGGTGTCAGGGTGCAGCCTGGAGATTCCCTCTATCCTTTGAAAACCACCTCATTTATTTTTGTTTCCTGACTCCTTCCACCCTGATATATTGAACTGGACATCAGATGAGCTGGGCAGCATGGCAGAGTGGATGGACAAAAAGATGAGTAAATGAGAGAATCACAGCTACCCAGACACTCAATCCAGCAATTGGATTTAAAGTACTGGGAGAATCTCTAGAGTTGCAACACTGTAAACACTTTATGGCATTTTTTAAAAAAAGAAGATAAGTCGTTTTCATTTGGAACTGTTAAAAATGGAACCTCCATGTTGAAAGGGAAAAAAATGTGATACCATCAGGAATAAGCAACAAAACAGGATTATCACTTCTATATGACACACTGTGGCAAGTTTCATTTCCCACAACTCCTTGGAAAATAATCAGAATTTAAGGGTACAATCATCAGCCTTTCTTTCTTGTTTAAATAGACTTGTACATTAAAGTCTAACTATTATACTAAGAGAAAACCTTATGGGTCATAGAGTGTGTTTGTAAGAAATGACAAAATTTCTTTAGTAATGTTTTTTAAAGAAGATAGTCACCTTTAGGTGGTGGCTTGCCAAGAACATACATGTGGTTATTAAAACTGCTTACTCTGAAACCTTAGTTTTAACTCTTTCATCTCCCTTTTAAACTAAATCTCTTGGATTTATTTCGAGCTAAGAATATAATTTTCCCTCAACTTTTCCAGGGCAGATATACCCGCTCTCAATTGCTCCCCTCCAATTAGCATAGCCTGACCCAATGATACACAGAATGCTAACTATAGTTAAATTTCTTCCATCTGGAAGAGAGGTGTAACCCTACTTACCTGTTTAAATTGAAGGCCAGGAGATGCTTCACATGAAGTTTTCCACGCAGCTAAAATCAAAATGCCCCTTTAACCTAGAGGGTCGGGGTAAAATGCAGGGGGGAAGACATCCAAGATTTAAGAAGCCCAATAACATACATTCGAGTATCATTTAGCTAGTTTAGAGAATATAGTCAAAAGTATGCTTAAGTAAATCAGTTTGTGTCTTAATTATTCGAATAAACCCCATTCGTAGCTGGATGGGCTTAATCAGCCCTTGAGGGGTTCAGTCACCTGGTTTGAAATATCCCCCTGCAAACCAGAGAAGGGAAGAAATTTGCTTCAGAGAAGCAAATAAAGCCAGGTGTGTGTGTGTGGGGGGGAAATCAGGCTATCCACAAACCTGACGAGAACTGAAGGCAAGCTCTGAGACAGAGGAAGGGGTGCTGCTCTCTGTTAGGGGAAAGTGGGGGGAGGCAAGGCAGCAACAGCTCTTTCCTTCTCGCCTCAGCCCCAAAGCGTTGCCCTAATGAGGAGGAAGAGCCGCCTCCCCCCGACCAAGCAGCGGCTGCCCGCGTGCACTGGCTTGAAGGTTTCCCTCGCTCAATTTTGAACTACCCGCCTTTCCCAACTGCTGGAGCTTCGTCTCCTCCCCTCCGGCGCGGCTTCCTAGGAGAGGAGCCCGGGCAACGCCAAACGCATGAGCATAGCCGAGGAGGAGGCGGAGAAGCTGCAACCGTGTGCTCGGCGCTGACAAGAGTTAAGGAAGGGCGGACGAGGAGCTATTTCTGGAGCTCTTTACTTGGGGGGCTTAACCTCAAGGCATTCCGGGGTCTGCTTGTTGTTAGGGGGTGGGTGAGTTTTGACTGAACTTGAAGAAAAACTTCCCTTCTGGTTGTTTCCAAACGCACACTTCCTGTTATCCTGCTCTACCACCACCTCAGCCTGTTGGGGTTTTGTTGTTGTTATTTTTGTTTTTGCTTCTGGTCATCTCTGCAGGTTGCTTCCAAGCTGCCTGACAGAACTGCCCCATTTCTTTCCTTCCCCCATTTTTTTTTAATGAAAGATCACGCTTTACAATCCGTGGTAGTTAGTGCGAAAGAGACTCTCACCCTAAATAATAACCATCGTCCGGCATTGTGTGTAGAATAGCCAAGGAGATCTAGGATTGTCTGGCAGCTGCAAGTTTTAGCTCTTAGTGTTGCGTCAGTGGCGACCTAGGCTTGTTTTTAGGGGCTGAGAGAGCTCTGAAAGAGAACTGTGAGGGGCCCAAAGTCACCCAGCTGGTTCTCACCCTGATTCCACAGCTCGCCATTATTGTGGACTAGAATTCCTGCTCCACCCAGCTTTGGGGAAAGTACACGTTGTATCTGAAGAAGTGTGCCTGCACACGAAGCTTAAACCCAGAATTGAACTTTGTTGGTCTTCAAGGTGCCACTGGACTCAAATTTTGTTCTGTTGCTTCAGACCAACACAGCTACCCACCTGAATCTATTCTACGAGCACAGAGACATCCCTGCTTAAAATTTTTGCCCTGCCTGTAGGAGTTAGGTTTAGTATCTTCTCCCCATCTATAACTAGGGGATCATAATGCTAACTAATCCTATAATACTGTTGGTAAATAATGATGTAGATAAAAAAAGACCTTGGGATGGTAACAGTGCAATCCTATGAAGAGTTTTAGTGATTTAAGACTGGAGTAAACCTGCATTAGGACTGCACAGTTAGTTAATTGTATTAGCATGATTGTTCAATGGGATTTATTCCCATTTAAGTGTCTGTAGGATCACTGTCTTAAGTATTGCTTCTTAACCTAGTACATTGTCATCCCATCCTTTCCTTATGAAGCTCAGGCGATCCTCCTGCATTTTATGTTCACAACAATCCTGTGAGGTAGGGTAGGCTAGGAGTGTAATTGGCCCAAGGTGTATGTAAGGGTGGGGAACTGAATCCTAATCTCCGAGCTTCTAGTACCACACTTTAGCCCCAAGCTATTTTGGATGATCCAGAATATAAAGGACAAACGTGGCTGGAGGCTGAGTCTCCCAACTATGTAACCCATTATCCTGTTTGTTGGGACTGGCCTTGTATTATGGGTGGGGGTGGGTGGGGGTGGTATGCACACTGTGCATCAAACCCACTTTTCTTTCCTGCAAGAGTAAAAAAATTAATGCATGAGGTAGGAACTTGGTGCTAAACCTTAATGACCTCCAGTTTACATTACACTCTTGCATCTGGTCCTGCCTTTTCCAATTCACTCACAAGTTCGATGTATGTAAAAACGCAAACTGAGAAGTTCGTGTATGTGGTTGTATTTGGCAAATTGCTGTCAACTGCTCAGCATACCAGTACCCGAGCTGACAGCTCCAGCGTTCAAAACTTGCTACTCTCACTTTCACGCTCCAATCCTAATGATACCTTCCTGGCAGTAAACCCGAAATAACGTGGTGCCTTTGTGACCTGTTTAACGATCGCTTCCTCAGTTAAGCATCTTTCTCAGATCCTGATGCTTTTTTACAGGGTTATGATGGACTACAATAAACTTTTCAGTCAGTCAGCCAATAATACAGTCAGTCTAAAGAATATATATATTCTGTTTCGTGCCCTTTGGAGGTAAATAACGCGGTTTATAAATGGTTATAAGTAAATTCCCGGTCCTATCTAATTTAAAGCCCTAGAGGGCTCTGTAATAGCCTCGTTTGGAAAATGACAGTGCAAACTTTCACATGGCACTGTAAATCTCACTGTAAAATTTGCATGATATATTCTGGTTTTCAAAATTCTGGACATCCTAATATTTTAAAAGGTGTATGTGCTCGGACCATAAAATATAGACGTGTGTAATATCGACATGCTAAAAAAAGGATTATTGTGAAATTAGAAATCAGTAGCTCCACACTCTCCTCTGGGTTTTTTGTTCAGTAGAAACAAAAAGAAATATTCCGATTATTTCAGATGTTGAACGGAACTGTTAGTGCAGATATGGTGTTAGATTCTCTAACAGAGAGAGGCGGTATAGCAAACAAATTTACGCATCGTGATACACTGAAAAGCCGCTTACGCTAAAGGTGGAGCCCGATTGGCTGTTTTGGGATACTGTGTGAACGTCATCACATCGCGCCACATTGACTCAGGGTGACGCGATCCGGTAAGGGGATTTTGCTGGCTTTGGTTAATTAAACTGTTGTAGCGAAACTATTTCTGTTAAGGAGGTGTCGTGTATGTCATTCGTATTTTCTGTCTTTTTTGGGGGTGTGTGTGAGAAGATTTTTTTAGTCCCCGCCCTCCACGAGGCATAAGTAATAGGCTAGCACTGGAGGGGAGGTATGCTACTGCTTCCTTCAGTCGCGTGCTCTTTTTCTTTGTCGGTGTGCTCTGTTTCGGAATGCTGTCTTGTGTTACCTACTCACAGTGAGTAAAAACTGGATAGAACAGGCCCTTTCCAGGTCGTTTTTCCATCGCCGTCCCCCATTTCATTAGGAATAAGATTTATGATGAATATGTGAATATTATGTCACTTTCCTGACAGAATATGGACACCGAGAAAGATGTGCCACCTCCCAAGCAGCAGCCCATGATATACATTTGTGGAGGTAAGCTCACTGTATAATTGTTCTCAAATCCATGTGTCACTGGTAGTTGGGATGTGTAATGTAAGCTTGCTAGTTATGTTGATTGTTTTATATGGTGTTAGTGAAATGTAATTTTGTTCTATAGTCATGAATCTTGTTACTTTTGGAAGCATACCTCAGTGATTCATTGGAGCTTACTCACAGGAAGTATTAAGCTTGTAATCACAAATCCAAGCTGCTGAAATTCTTATCATAGTTTATAAAAAATACTGCAAGGAGCTGAATTTCAGTAAACTAAACAAATTTAACCACCTTGTGTTTTTTGTGATAGATTTTTGGGTTATCCTTAATATTTTGTGCAGTCATACCCTTAAATTGCCATGGTTTTGTTCTTGATTAAACTTGACTTTCCTATATTTCTTCTAATGTTGGTCTAGCAAATTATTGATTTTTTTACTTTCAGAATGTCATAAAGAAAATGAAATTAATGCAAAAGAGACCATCCGATGCAGAGAGTGTGGTTACAGAATAATGTACAAGAAGAGAACAAAAAGATGTATCCTTTTAAATGGCTATTTTAATTCTGACAGGCTGATTTGACTGTCTGAGCTTTCAGCATTGTTTCTGTATTGGGGTTATATTGCTGTATCAACCTTACTCATACTTATATGCTAATGCTGCAAGTCTGTAGTCCATTTCAAATGTTGCAAACTACAGAGGTTCAATTTGTAAAAAGATCCTTGTAAAGAGTTGGTGTGAGTGTGGTTCTCCTCTCCCCTAAATAAACAAACTAGGCAGATTAGTTATGTAAATTGTAATTTATGAACTGGATCTGAGGGTTGGTGATAAAATTATTTCTCATAAGTTATTTTAAGCATGCTTAACTCCCCTTTAAGTCAATCCTAAATGCATTAATTTGCAAATAAGCACTATTAAATTCAGTAGATCCTGAACAGGACAAGATTAAAGAAGATGCAGAAGTTCCACTGGGCATAAGTGTGGGGAAGAAAAAGCATAAATGTGTTATTGTCTTGTTCACCCCATCCCACATCTTTGCTATGTAAAGCCACACTAGAGCAATATGTTGATTGAGCTGTTTAGTTCAAATGAAGTGTAACCAGTGTATCTAACTTGAAGGGTGGGAAGCCATTTTAGGCATTATGTACATACCAAGCCAGAAGGATGTTGTTGCAAGAAATTGGATTTTCATGTTTGTGTCTTCATTTTTTGTTTGTAAGACATGGACACATTCCAGTTCCTTTCTATAAGCTCAAAATATGTTAGTACCCAGTTAAGGAAACTAGCACAGGGCTCTTCCCCCTCACTAGCTATATGTCATCTGTGTGCACACTAAAGTACACTAGTTGTTCAATGTAGGTATGGTTGACCATAACAGTGGAGAGGACAGCAATAGCTATGATTAGTGTATGGAAGGTATGCACTAGTTTACTACTGCGTGGCTGATGTATTGCATTGGCCAATGGCCAGCCAGGTAAGGAAGTGGGCCCCATTAAGCCCTATTCTTATGCACAGGCACATCTGCTGTGTGTGTGTATTGTCCACTGCATATGTTAGAGTTAGTAGAATTTTTTACATGCTTTCTAGCTTTTTTCCTTAATCCTACTATAGTGGTTGTTTTTGATGCCCGATGAAGAAGGTGAAGATGCTTCTGATTTCTCTCAATGTATTCTTCATATGCTAAATTTAATGTCATATTTGTTAGGATAGTATAAATTATACAGACATCATAATAAAATTTTATTCAAATATTTAGTTTCTTTTTTTCCTCCAATAGTAAATTATAGCCCTGGTTACACGGGCCAGATAATGCGGGGGGGGAGGCGTGGCTGTTCACCCCGGAGCGAAATAAAGCACGGTAGCCCGATCATACGGTCCCCCGAGTCTCCATGCTTAGGCTGTTAGCTGGCGATTATACGGCGATGCTGCAGTGTGGCAAAGAAGCGGCACGGCGTGATCACACAAGCGTTTCGCGTTTGTGTGCAGGCACAGTTCCGCAGAGCAGCACTGCTTTCAGTTTCGTGTTTGTGTGCATGCGCTTATGGAAATCATCTGGTTTGCGATGGGACGTCGACGGGTGCCAGATGCCACGGGATACTAGCGCTCCTGCGGTCAGACACCTGCCTGTGCTGTGCGTTTTCCGGATACTAGTGCATTTTCTCTGCATCTTCGGCGGGATGCCACGGGTTGGCCACGGGTGTGCTACGCTTCCCAGATGTTGCTGTGTGATCGCGCGCCAAAAATCCGCCCAACATTCATGCCTCTCGCGTGACAAAACCTCCGTGTGACCGTGGCCTTTGTTGGTCTTAAAGGTGCCACTGGACTCTAAAATTGTCCCTCTCTTACAGAGTTCATTACCCCTGGAGAAAATGGCTGCTCTGGAGAGTGG